CAAAAACATTTAATCTTTGTGTTCTACATGGTTTGGGTGAGGTAAAAGTGGTACAAAACACCAATGCCACAGGAGCAGTACATTCCCACTGTCTCCAGTGTCTTGGGCTGGGAGCTTGATCTGATTTATGGCTATATCATGTTTAAAGGGTCATTTCACCCAATAAATCATAGTTTGACGTTCTCACACAGAGTGGTTGTCAAGCTATTTGGGTTAACTAACCCTTTAATATATTTTTTCTCTAAACCGTATTAGCAGTAACAAAGTAATAAAGCCCCTGACTATCATCCACTGAGTTATCATAAAGAGGTTTAAAACCGGATCCAACTAATAAATACATTCATCAATAGACAATAATCAATAGACTACACTGTCTGTAAGTGACTGCAACAACTTACTTAATAAGAGAGAGACAGTAAGAGATAAATAGAAGAATCTAACTGGATAAAGGGTTTGGGACCAAATCCCTGACTGGTGAACTCTGAGGTAATATTTCCTATTCTTGAAAATAATGAGTTGTAGACTAAATACCTTGACATGATAGCTTACCCCCTTTATATATGTTGTTTCTACACTTCGTAAAACATTTGGTTGGTCACAACAAACAATCAACAACAAACAAGATATCAAAAATGGCTTCATAATATTTTCATAACATGCGGATACTTAAGTTTACAGGCTCAACAATACATGCAAATAAACAATGCGGTTATTTTCTTTGTTTCTAGATGTGAAAAAACGACTCCTTGCCTGAGGTCTGACTGTTAGATTTAAGTAAACAATGAGATCACGCACACATGCTCCCACACACGCTCCCACACTCGCACACTTCATGTCACACAAACCGTCAGTCATTCAGTATGTGCTTTGGTTTAGAAAATAGTCTGTTGATTTGGAACGAGCTTGTATTTTTTATACAATGCATGCTGATATAACATTCAAGAACTAATATTTTATAATATATTTAAAACACCTCTACCTTTTATCCAGAAGTTATTTGAAAGAAGATAATCACCACACACCTCCTCTAAAAAATATCTTGCTTAGGAAACTAGAGTTTTTGCTTTCAGACAGTTTGACAACACAGCTGAGGGTTCTTCAGTTGAAATGTGAGGAACCATCCCTGAAGATATGGGTTAGAAGTATCACCCTCACAGCTGAAACATGTTTATATCTTTCTCTCTGCTCTTTAATTTCTTTTGTCGACATTCTAAATGCCTGAACCAAAACAACCAGAGAGTTTTGCAGTTTAACGGAACTCATAAGTGCGGATATGTACTGTATGGATGCCAGACACTGACATCAATGTTCCTGAGTTATGTACACTTTTCTGGAGTAAAAATGACTTTTTTCAACACTTAAGCGATAAACATGGAGGAAAGAGAATTTTAAAACGATGTACTTACTAGTCTAAAACAAGGCAATTACAACACATTCTTAGATTTTCAGGAAATGACATGTATGTAGTCCTCCTGAGGACATAGTGAAGACAAAGTAAGGCAATGAGGTGAGGTTGGTCCAATCAACATGAGTAATTCCTACCACATGGCTGTTTGTGTGGAACTAGGAGTGGACATAATAGCATTGGTAAAACTACACTGACATTGAAAAACGTTGGTTGTTAGTTTGCATTCATTTTCTCTTTGGATTTCACCTTACAATCTCCTACACTAGTACCAGTAATACTCATCCAGGAAGCAATACTCTCCTCTCCTCACAGAATTAACAGATGAGAGGAACTTGTTGAAAACCAAAAGCAAACTTAATACAGGGATACTGGGAGAGTATTATTAAATGGTTCATCTGAGGAGTGAAGAGGTAGCAGTGTGACAGGGCTATTATCAGTAGACCAGCCTTTTAAAGGAAAAACGCAGACACAACAACAGTACCAACGGAGTATGATGCCTGCAATAAAAAATCCCCACCCCTCCCTGACCCAAACCCCTTAAAGTAGAAATACCCAGTCTAAACATTCACAAAAGCGTAACTAAGTTCTCAAAACATTTTACCCCCAAGTTAAACTACAAAGTCTGACCTATGAACTACAAATAAAGTAAACAACATTGCTGTTAGAACACCCCTGATCAATTTCTAATGCCACATTTCCAACAGGCAGTGTATGTAAAGGTGATAAGTTATTATATGCACACTGGCTAGGCTTACTAACCTGTTCCATCTAGCTGGAGAACATCATATTACTGACTGTTAGCCAGTCATGCCTGGGGTAAAGTCTGTGTCTAATAACGAGGCAAGAGAGGCAGTGAGGTCCCCCACTGGCCAGCGAGAGACAGCTACAACAGCCTGGAGGAACGACAGCATGGGACTGACACCCTGGGAGGCCAGCGAGAGACAGCTACAACAGCCTGGAGGAACGACAGCATGGGACTGACACCCTGGGAGGCTAGTTTGGTTGGATGCTAAAAGCTATCATCATTATCATCATCAAAACATGTTTGAGCCACCTGGGATGGGGAGGAAGGAGTCTTTGGTTTTATGTCAGATGGAGAGGTGTGTTGTGTTGACCCTGAGATAGCCAGTACAGCTGGCTGGCTGGCTCCATGTGGATTTATGATGGGTTCTGAGGGTGAAGTAATGGTTGGTATTAGTAAGATGAGGAACAGTTCTCAAGTGGAGGTAAGGAATCAGGGTTGCCCCAGTTGCCCTGATGAGGGTGAGGGTATGGGTGATAGTTGTTAAGAGGGTGAGGGTATGGGTGATAGTTGTTAAGAGGGTGAGGGTATGGGTGATAGTTGTTAAGAGGGTGAGGGTATGGGTGATAGTTGTTAAGAGGGTGAGGGTATGGGTGATAGTTGTTAAGAGGGTGAGGGTATGGGTGATAGTTGTTAAGAGGGTGAGGGTATGGGTGATAGTTGTTAAGAGGGTGAGGGTATGGGTGATAGTTGTTAAGAGGTTGAGGGTTTGGATGATAGTTGTTAAGAGGTTGAGGGTAGGTATTAACACTGGTAACTGGGCTCCTGGGACTGTCCCTGGACCACCCTTCACATTTCCCGAAAAAATTCAATGACAAGACCCGGAAAATTACAAAATTTTCCCCCAATGTCGCACATCAGAACTGAAAATTATATCCTGGTCCAACCCAAGCCCAGTGAGCTTAAGCCCGATCCCAGGCCTGGTCCAACATCACAGAAATGAAATGAGCCCAAACCTGAAAAAAAGCCAGATTTCTAGAAAACAGTAGACTATATTGATTTAAACTAGTGTTGAGAACAACGCGGCGGAGGCGGGCGGCACCAGAGTGAGGAGACGAGGAAACAGCCATTGGGCCTAGAAAAAGCGCAGAGAGAGAAACTCACCTTAGTTAGGATCAACTGAATGATGAACATATTACAATAAAGTAGGCTAATGTAATTGAAGGCATGTATCAAATTCTGGCTTATACTGAAACTCCCAAAGTTATATCCAACCATTATACTAACTTAAAGCAATAGTCGTGTGTGGTCACCTAGGTTATAATTTCATCACCGTTTTGATTGAGACAGCGCCATCGTGCTGCTTCGAGACGAGCGTGGGGTACTCATCTAGATTAATCAATCAATGTCAGATTTTTGTTTTCACTGAATATCCGTTTGGATATTTGGTAGGCTGGGGAAATGTTAGTCAAATTGAGTGAGTGCTAATGATCATCTTTATTCTAGTTTGTTCATATATTACCTGATCAGAACATTTTGATCAGAATCTCTGTCTATATATTTGGTTAATTGATCTCTGGCTGGAGAGTGGTAGAAGTGGTAGCTCATTTATTTGCTTGTTCATCGATCACTGATCAGAAACATTTAGCGTGCAATAATGTAGCCTAAATCAAGTGTATTATCTATTGACTCAAGTAGTGGCCATATATAGAGCCTAGGCTATTTTCCTATTGTCCCAATAATCCCACTGAAACCCAAAATCTTGACTCCTGTCTCGCATGAAAATTCCTAACTTTATTCTGTAATCCATAGGTTGCATTATCAAAGCATGTCTCGCTTATGCATGTCAAAATACCACTATAACATTTTCCCCGCTTCTCTGCGCTGTCTCGTATTGCTGCCCATGAGAGCGTCAGTAGAGAATGTGTGATCAACAAACGGTATGAAAGTAGATATGGATATATCTTTTTTTAAACAGTTGGTCTCCGTTAAGATACCTTGATATTTAAACAATTTCCTCTCTTCATCTCCTTGTTATTCATGAGCTGATCTGCTATCTGTATAATCATCAACTCGATTTTGCCAAATAGGAGATATTCTGTCATTCGTTGGAGGTTATCTAACAAGCTTAGCAACGTTGGTCATTTTACTTTAGTTTGACTACCGTTACAAAGTTTGTATGATTCGACAATGCTTTAGCCTACTCTGGGTGTGTTCTGAGGGTCCTTAGCATGCTCTGTCTCGAGATAGCCTAGGCCTACTGCTGAAATACGCTGAATTAATTGAGTAACATGATAATGCTCTGAATTTATGAACGGCCTGTTTCGCAATTCCCAACAATGTCATTGGTGATCAAAGTTACTCTATCATTACTAAATATCAGTTTCACTTGCTGTGAAACCTTTACATAGTGGCGCAGCCAAGCCGGCAATGTTGCGCAGCGGCAATCTTATTTTGGGAGAACCCTGGCATAGTGACCATATCTTGGTTTGAAAGGCTTTAAAATGGGCACTTCTGATTTTTGCTGTATTTTCCGGGACTCGGGATAAATGAATTATTCCCGGTATTGAAACTAGGTAGATTTTCTGGAAAATATGAATCCGTAGTTGAGGGTATGGGTGATAGTTGTTAAGAGGTTGAAAATATGGGTAAAGTTACTCAGGGGGATTGGTTATAAAGGTGAGGTAATTAAGTTCAAGGTGAATTTCTGAAGATGAGGTAGAACCTAGGTGTGTTTACGAGGGTGAGGAGGTACTATGGGTAACAGAGGCTCCAGATAGTTATCTGAAGACGAGGTAGACAGCCTAATAGAACTGTGGTTCAGCTGCAGTAAAGATGGTGAAGTGTCCTCTATGAGGGCGAGGTGTGCATCCTCATATGACTAAGGAGGTTGCGTTGCTGGGTGAACTTCCCGCCACACAGCTGGCACTCGTACGGCTTCTCCCCCGAATGGACCCGCATGTGCTCGGCGAGGCGGTACTGGCGTGTGAAGCGCATGCCGCACTCCTCGCAGGCGAAGGGCTTGAGGCCCAGGTGGCTCCTCATGTGGCGCGTCATGGTGCCTCGCTGGGTGAACAGCTTGCCACAGATGTTACAGGGGAACGGCCGGTTCAGCCAATGGCTCTTCTCGTGTTGCCGTAGTGATGTCGAGTCCTTGCAGCTCTTACTGCAGATTGTGCAGAGATGCCCAGGTTCTTCAGCGTCAGGTTTCACCCCCTGTGATGCAGAGTCATCTGGGAATGCGTCTGGATCTTTGCCCTTCAAGTATCCACCACCTTCCTCTTCTTCCTCCTCCTCCTCCTCCTCCTCGTCTTTGAGGTAGAGTTGGTCGTGTGTGTGTGTGTCGACGTGGGCGTTGAGCTGTTCTGAGCTGGGGAAGCCTTTCCCACAGGGGATGCAGACGTACAGGTTGTCCCCCACACCTGGCTCAAACCCTGGCTGGGGCTGACGGTAGATGTAGTTGGTGTTTCCGTTTCTACTTCCTTTTCCTCCTCCTCCTCCTCCTCCTCCTCCTCTCCCACTCTGCCCGCTCCCCTCACTCTGATCTAGGCCGTTCTCCTCACCATCCACCTCTCCGTCCTCCAGCTCTGGGGTCGTCACTTTATCACCTCGGGGCCTCTTGCGAGGGGCTCTGGGCTGGAGGTCTGTGGAGGTCTTTGAAGGCTCTGGCTTGGCACTAGATGTTGTGGGAGGAGTGGGTGTGGGGGAGAGAGAGGAGGAGTGGGGGGAGGAGCTCTGTAGGAGACTGCTGGGGGACACCTCCTCTGTGGTAGTGCTCCCTGACGGACTCCTCTTGGACAGGTCCAGTCCCAGCCCATTACTCCTACCTTCTCCAGAAGGGCTGAGGGAGGCACAGCGCGAGCCCGAAATATACACCTCCTTCTCGGGCAGATCCTCTCTCAGCCTTCCCTCCTGGCCCCGTCTCTGGTTCCTCTGGCTCCCCTTCTTGGACCCTGAGTGGTTGTTATGGTGCTGGTGGTTGTGGATGGGGGTGGCTCTGAGGGGGGTGGAGGAGAGATGGAGGGGGCCAGGGGTGTGTCCATTGGGGGTTGGGGAGGTGGAGGAGGAGGGGGTCATCTTGTTGGAGCTGGAGGGGGTCTGGCCGTTGCATTTGAGCTTCCTGCGACAGAGAGCAGCCAGTTCGGTCAGCTGGAGGTAGGAGGCGGCAATCAGGAGGGACGAGATACTGTGGTCACTGACGGAGTCAGAACTGGACAGACGACCTGTATAGATGAAGTCCAACACCTAGAGGAGAGATGGGGTAGAGAGGGAAATCTTTACATTGTCCCAATGAGCAATTTGTTTCACAGCAAGTTGATATCAGAATGCAGATGAAACAGCTGAGCTTTACAGCATTGATGTGGAAACTAAAACATTGATTAATGTGTACTGTCCGTGTCTACTAAATTACATGAATGACAAGATTCCTATACAAACATGTCTGTATATGTGACTGCGGTCAGTGAGACGCTGCCCGTCAGGTGACCCACCTGTCTGAAAATGGAGGGGCTGACCATCTCTGTGTCCAGGTTGATGAGGTTGTCGTGGGGGACCAGCGACTTGAAGTAGACGCTGCTGGCCGCCAGGACGTTCTTGTGGGCGCGGAACAGCGCGTTCTCCACCACGATGATGACATCACACAGGTACCCTTTGGCTCGCTGCTGGTTCAGCTGCAGCAACAGCTGCTTTGAATGGTTCTGCTGTTCCATCTCTCACACACACACACACACACACACACACACACTTTGGTTTACACACCTGGGGAGGAGGAGAGAGGGAGAGTTCAATTCTGAGAACTCAAAGAAATCCAACCACTAGACTAATTTAAACTCCTGCAGGTCCAAATGTGCTCCTGAAATTCTTGCAATGCCCAGGATGCCCCCCTCCCCCAAAAAAGAGTATGGCCAATACATTACACCTCTTTGCTCACCCTGCAACCATCACACTGGTTTCCTCAAATATAGTCCCTGAACAACATACTGGCAGGAGGAAGAAAGATAAGCCTTCAAATTACCAACACGATAAACTAACCACCAACCCACTAACAAATACCAACAAATATAAAAAACCTTCTCTGGCAGCAATAGATTCTGAGGAACCAGAGAAAGGAACCGTGATATCTATCTGTTCATTATCACAGCACACACACACAGTAACAAGCGCTGTATCCAACCCAGCTCTAAAGTATTATCGGCTAACCCAGTAGAGACTGTGTGCTCTTGATCAGCTATAAATAGAACTCATTAGATGGGTACAGGACTGCAATTGTCATCTCTAACTCTCATAATCATATACACCCACCCTGACAGTATGTGAAGTGAGAATTCGGAGTCACTCAGTGAGAAGCGGAGTCACTCACCACCTTCCGGAGACATTTGAAACCCCACCTCTTTAAGGAATACCTGGGATAGGATAAAGTAATCCTTCTACCCCCCCCCCCCCCCCCCAAAAAAAAATTGTAAAGTGGTTATCCCACTGGCTATAGGGTGAATGCACCAATTTGTGAGTCGCTCTGGATAAGAGCGTCTGCTAAATGACGTAAATGTGCCCTTGAGCAAGGCACTTAACCCTAATTGCTCCTGTAAGTCGCTCTGGATAAGAGCGTCTGCTAAATGACTAAAATGTAAATGTAAATGTAATTCAGGTGGGGCTTTGATAATGGCAAATTGTTAACTGCTTTTGAAAAAGAATCAAGTTAGGCTGCGTTTACACAGGCAGCCCAATTCTGATATATTTTTATTTTGACCAATCAGATCAGCTCTAAAAAAAGATCTGATGTGATTGGTCAAAAGACCAATTAGTAGAAAAAAAATCTGAATTTGGCTGCCTAAATGAACGCAGCCTATCGGTGTCTGACTGCAGACTCCAATTACCGGGTTAAACAATTAGTTTAGCCTATATCAGAACACAAATACTTCATGTCTCTACACGGAGTGTACAAAACTCACCTGGTCAGTCTGTCATGCAAAGCGCAGGTGACCTTAATGTTTTGTACACTCAGTGTATAATCAGAGCGTTAGTAACTAGGCTTACTGTGCGAACATAAGCCTACAACCATTATCATATGCCAGGTATACGTATTCAAACAACTGCTTTAGATAAAGGCTTTTATGTAAACAACTTGATTTGATCAATTTACAGTAGTTCTATTTACAGTACTGAGCTTCAGCAAAACTTTAGACCGAACTACTCTCCAGTTCTAATCCTCCATATCCACTTCCTCCAACCTGCTGCCCTACATCTGTACGAGTAGCAGCACCCCGGGGTACTTTAAAACAAGGATGGTACGAAGTTAGAAATACTACTACTGATAACAATGCATCCCATCCGTCTTGCCATATATCGATACAGTATCACAAAACACACGCCCCCAAAAAATACACACTGAAACAAATCTAATCAAATCTAATTTTATTGGTCCCATACACGTGTTTAATAGATGTTGTTGCGGGTGTAGCGAAATGCTTGTGTTTCTAGCTCCGACAGTGCAGTATATCTAACAAGTAATATCTAACAATTTCACAACATATACCTAATACACACAAATCTAAGTAAAGCAATGGAATAAGAATGTATAAATAAATATTTGGAGGAGCAATGTCAGAGCGGCATAGACTAAGATACAGTAGAATAGTATAGAATACAGTAAATACATATGAGATGAGCAATGCAAAATATGTAAACATGATTAAAGTGACTAGTGTTCCATTTATTAAAGTGGCCATTGATTTATAATCTATGTATATAGGCAGCAGCCTCTAATGTGCTAGTGAAGGCTATTTAACAGTCTGATGGCCAAACAAAAGAGACGTTTGGGTAATCTATCTAACGACTGCACAACACACTGACAAGATGCTGAGGGTCCATTTATGAACCTACAGCCCCGTTCTGCCCCCCTCCTTCCCTGCCGGCTCAAAAACCACCTCATCACTTCAGATGAGAGAAACATAGACTTACAGTATATAATCAAGCCGTAACCAGGAAGGCAGGCTGGACAGAACAGGCCGTAACCAGGGCGTCTGGAGGAAAGAGAGAACAGAGAGCAAGCCATACACTACCGGTCAAAGGTTTTAGAACACCTACTCATTCAAGGGTTTTTCTTTATTTGTAATATTTTCTACATTGTAGAATAATAGTGAAGACATCAAAACTATGAAACAACACATATGGAATCATGTAGTAACCCAGAAAGTGTTCAACAATATATTTAAATTTTTGAGATTCTTCAAATAGCCACCCTTTGCCTTGATGACAGCTTTTGGCATTCTCTCAACCAGCTTCACCTGGAATCCTTTTCCAACAGTCTTGAAGGAGTTCCCACATATGCTGAGCACTTGTTGGCTGCTTTTCCTTCACTTTGCGGTCCGACTCATCCCAAACCATCTCAATTTGGTTGAGGTCGGGGGATTGTGGAGGCCAGGTCATCTGATGCCGCACTCCATCACTCTCCTTCTTGGTCAAATAGCCCTTATGCCCAGTGTACACTAGCACGCGGTAAATTGCCGCATGCTGCTTCAGCCGCCCAGAGTGGCTCGCGTGTGGGCGTGCTGGCAGCATTTGGCAGCACGTTCGATTGTGTCAAGAATTCAGCATAGCAAGTTTGTATGAAGGTCTGGGTATTCACTGGTAAATAGTAATATGCTCTAAATCGCTCTGGTAACAACCAAACTTTGCTGCCCTGTTTCCAATCGTCCACATGGCTGGGAGAACCTATTCAAGTAAGTAAATACATTTCGAAAATGTAAAAACAACGATGTATTATTAGCTAACTAGCTACAGTGCAGACTAACGCAAATGAGCTGCTAACGTAGCTAGCTAGTTATCTAGCCAACTTTACATACTGTATAGGTAGCTAGCTAAATTAATTCAATTTGACCAGCTACCTAACTTCATATTAGCTAGCTATCTTGATATATTTATCACTGTAAAAAACAAACTCCAAAGGCATTTGTAGGTAGCTAGCTAACAGCCATGGAGGAGGGTGAAAGGATAGCAGCCCCATCTGTCAAAATGAGAGAGTAGGCTATTCTGGATAGGGCAGGTACTTTTGTGTAGTTCCAGTCCCTAGAAGTGAGGGCGGAGATAATAGTAACATAATATTCAGTGCGGTCTAATTTGAGTATAATGAAGTCTGTTTCTGTCCTCAGATACAGAGAGCTGTGAAAGCCTGTCTGCAGATGAACCAGCTATGATAGCTGAGGTTCATAGCTAGGTTCTGAACTAATATTTCTACCAAATGTTTTAAGGTCCATACATAGATCGGCTACATAGCTAGCTACACATCCATAGGCATACAGGTATTTTTATCATCCACTGCACAATAAGCAAGAAAATTGTTAGCTAGCTACGTTACTTCAGCTGCATTGCATAGCAAATATCAGCAAGGCAAGCTTACAAAATGAAATCAAATTTTATTTGTCACATGCGCGAATACAACCTTAGAGTGAAATGCTTACTTACAAGCCCTTAACCAACAATGTCGTTTTACGAAAGAATACCAAAATAAATCACAAAAAAATACAATATAAAATAATACGAAATAAAAGTAACAAATAATTAAAGAGCAGCAGTAAAAATAACAATGGCGAGGCTATATACAGGGGGTACCGGTACCTAGTCAATGTGCGGAGGCACCGGTTAGTCAAGGTAATATGTACATGTAGGTAGAGTTATTAAAGTGACTATACATAGATAATAAACAGAGAGTAGCAGCAGCGTAAAAGAGGGGGGGGGGGCAATGCAAATAGTCTGGGTAGCCATTTTATTAGATGTTCAGGAGTCTTATGGCTTGGGGGTAGAAGCTGTTTAGAAGCCTCTTGGACCTAGACTTGGCGCTCCGGTACCGCTTGCCGTGCGGTAGCAGAGAGAACAGTCTATGACTAGGGTGGCTGGAGTATTTGACAATTTTTAGGGCCTTCCTCTGACACTGCCTGGTATAGAGGTCCTGGATGGCAGGAAGCTTGGCCACTCACGTCTGTAGCCATGAAGTGCTTTGAAAGGCTGGTCATGGCTCACATCAACACCATTATCCTAGAAACCCTAGACCCACTCTAATTTGCATATCGCCCCAACAGATCCACAGATGATGCAATCTCGATTGAGCTCCACACTGCCCTTTCACACTTGGACAAAAGGAACACCTATGTGAGAATGCTATACATTGACTACAGCTCAGCGTTCAACACCATAGTGCCCTCAAAGCTCATCACTAAGCTAAGGACCCTGGGACTAAACATCTCCCTCTGCAACTTGATCCTGGACTTCCTGACGGGCCGCCCCAAGGTGGTAAGGGTAGGTAACATATCCGCCACGCTGATCCTCAACACAGGGGCCCCTCAGGAGTGCGTGCTCAGTCCCCTCCTGTACTCCCTGTTAACTCATGACTGCATGGCCAGGCACGACTCCAACACCATCATTAAGTTTGCCAATGACACAACAGTGGTAGGCCTGATCACCGACAACAACGAGACATCCTATAAGGAGGAGGTCAGAGACCTGGCCGTGTGGTGCCAGGACAACAACCTCTCCCTCAACGTGATCAAGACAAAGGAGATGATTGTGGACTACAGGAAACTACAACAAACTAACATGGTCCAAGCACACCAAGACAGTCGTGAAGAGGGCACAACAAAACCTATTCCCCCTAAGGAGACTGAAATGATTTGGCATGGGTCCTCAGATCCTCAAAAGGTTCTACAGCTGCACCATC